ACTCCTTCAGGATAAATGTGATTTGGGGAGAAGCTAAGTACTACCACATTACAAACCAGGCCTGCATTCAACTCACCCAAGTACCTCATTAGTATCTTTCATGTGCCCTATACCGGCACAGACAAGATGGAAGCAAATGGGCCATTTTTCCTTTTCTTCAAGGGGCTCTCTCTCAGTCTGATGACAAGTTAGCAAAATGCACCACCAATGAATTCATGTCTGGTTTATAGATGTCATTTAGGTCTGGCCATGTGGACTGCAGATGATGAAATATTTGAGCCAAAGATCAGTGAAACCAGCAGTTGCCTTGGAAACAAGGCGACCTGTCTCACTTGCCTACCATTTTGAAGGGTCTGATTAATATCCTCGACTCAGAAATCATAGGGTGGAATCTGGGAGCTGTCTCTTCCCCATTTCACCCCTTTGACAAGTACTAGGACCTTCAGTACCCTGGTCTCCTCAGCAGAAGCTGCTTGCAAGGTCCTGTGTAAAATGCGGTTGCATCTTTCGAAGCTGCCATATGGGTAAGGAATCATCTACCCAAAGTGTTCCATGTGTGCTGATGCCCAGAGTTCAAAAGGTAGTTCTTTTTATTATCAGGCTTGTGGGAAGGGCATCATCGTGTTGCCCATTAGCGCTGATCTACACAGCACTCTCTGAGGTGCTGCTGGGACTCGAATGAACCACTTGAGCTCAGCCCAGACTTATAAATGTATCTAGTAGATATGTGGCTCTCCTGGGTCCCTGAAGATAATGAATCCCCAGGAACCACAGAAAGAAGCTGTTGGTTAAAGTGAGTTGGCAATATGGCCTGGCCAGACCAGCTGATAGAGGGAAGATTTTCAATTGATTCAGTTGAGAAATTTTCATTGCTTCTAATTGAAAAGCATCTGAGAAAATTATGGAAAGCGGAATGGAGAAGGGACAGTTTTTCACTGAACTACCAGACTGATCTAGAGATACATATTTCAAAAACCACGTCATCACCATTGAGTGAAGGGACTGTAAGAAAATCTCAGCAGTTGGAGGATAACTTTTGTGTATATATCTTGAAGAATGGTGAATGGTCCCCTAACAACGAACAAGAGTCTTCCCGCCACATAGACATGCAGTAAGGCTTTGACAGCTTAAAGGCTGCACACTGGAGACTTTTGTTGTCACATTTTGTTTGGCTTGAACACTGATAGAATCTGAACTTGTTATAGTTTAGATTTGAAGTGCCCCTGCCCCAAAGGTTCATGTGCTGAAGGCCTACACCCCAGTGCAAGCAGTATTCAGAGGTGGAGTTTGGGGGAAGTGACAAATGGGTTGGTGAATTCATAATTTGATATTTTTGGGAGCTGATGAAATTATTCAGAAGTGGATCTGGGTGGAGGAAGTAGGACCTGAGGCTCGCCTCTGAAGGATGCTCCTGTTCCTAGCTCCTTCCCCTCATGCCTTGCTTTTCAGCCACCTTAAGTTGAGCATCCTCTTCCACCACAGGAGCCTGCCCTGATGATGCTCTGCCTCACCACATGCCATAGCAATTAAGAAGGCCAAAGACTGAAGCAATGAAAACTGTGAGCCAAAATAAACCATTTCCCCCTTAATCTGTTTCTCTCAGGTTATCACATTGCAAAAGTCTAACACAGATTGTAAATGTCACCTGAAGATCAATATGCTAAAATCTTGGTGACTACCTGGGACATTATTGGGAGAAGGGTAGTGGAAGCTTCAGGAGGTGAGGCTCAGTGGAAGGAAGTTAGCTGACTGGGGTGTGTTCTTGAAGAAAATGTGGGGGCCCTGGCCCCTTCCTCTTTCTGCTCCTTAGTTACCAAGAATAGCTTTGCTACATGTACCCTGCCATGTTCCGCCTCACCTCAGGTCCAAAATCTACAAACAACCATGAGTTGAAAACATGAGTCAAAATGAACATTTCCTTCTTTTAAACTGGTATCTCAGGTATTTTATCATAGCAACAAAAAGTTAACTAATTTGAACAGTATTTTAAAGTGAAGTTTCTGGCTTTTCTCAAGGGCATCCAGGGTATCCACTTGGTATCAGCTACATGCCTGGTAGTCCCCGAGTAGTCCTCTCAGTTATCAGATGAATTGCTGCAGTATCACAGTACTTATGTTCCAGTAGTCCTTACATAGTAGGTAACAGTGTGTCCACACTTGCTTCATCATTCACCTCACTTCACTTCTCCTGTAGGCATCCTATTACCTCACATCATCACAGGAAAGGTGTGTACAATACAGTATTTTGAGAGACATAAAGAAATTACTATATTCACATAACCTTTACTATAATATAGCTATAATTATTTAGTATTCTTAGTCTTTTACTATGATTTAGAAATTAAAATTTATATTATGTATGAAAACATACAGTTTACATAAGGGTCAAAATCCTCTCATGTTTCAGGCATTCACTGGGGGTATTGCAAAATACCCCCCACAGATAAAGGGAGACTACTGCATACAAATAATAATTGCCTATTATCCAGAGATAACCACGAGTATTTTAGTATGTTAAAATCTGTTATTTAAAACGGAACCTCACCCTGTGATGATTTCCATCATTCTCTATGTCCTTAACATGATTTTTCTTCATAAACTCACTGCTCTATTTATTTACTGGCACACCTTCTATATCCTTTTAGTTCACTGCTACACTCTCGGGTTCTAGACACCCCTGGCATGTAGGAGTACTCAGTGTTTGTTAAATGAGAGTCAAGGTCATGCATATGCATACATATATGTTCACATATATACATATATATTTATCAAAGTTCCTTAGTATAAGATTATAGATTTTTCATTATTTAGCTTTATGCTCCATTACTTCCCTTTACCTTTAAAACAAAGCTCATAATACAGTTCAAAACATTTGTAAAGATTCACAGTCTTAATCTTTGGCGCTAAGGCAACTTAAAAGCCTCAGTGCCATCAGAGCATAGATTCAGGCCTGCCTCCCACTGAGATCCTTGTGTCTAGGCACCCATAGTATCAAAACTGTCCACTTCCAGAAACTGTTACCATTCCAGGGTTCTCAGAACCTAGTTCAGTGACTGGAGAATAGCAAAGGCAGTGAATTACAGCTCCATCAGTCAGTATTCACATGTTCTTAAGACACTCAGCATTCTTAACGTTTTAATAATGCACAGTATTCTTTATTACTCTGCCTTGATGTGCTATACTATTCTTAAACATTATGTAGACAGTTAAATGCATCCAAGTTTTCACTCTTTTTCATAGTATTTGAATAGTAATGTGTGATTTTTGTCTCTAGTTATTTCTTCAGGTTTCCAATAGCAGATGAAGTTAAAATAGCTTTGTTGAATTTCTGAAACACTCCGTGTCTCTGTTTCTGTCGCCAACCTGCACTTCTACCAGTGGTAGAAATACAACAAAAATAAGAAAAACAACTTCTTGGTTTGGGTGAATGGTTGAGGCTTCTCTGTGTAACTGTGACACCTAGTATTTCTGTTCACGAGGCTCAGTGATGGAGGACATCCAATGCTCCTGACCTATGGAAAGGAAGTCAGGCAGAGAGGGCCAGGGTTCCTCCACACCCTTGTGCTCAAACTTGTTTTTGGTTTTCCCATTTTTCAGTACACCTGGTTCATTTGGGGTTCTAATTCTCCAGTACAAGGATAGAAAAAGTCCTAGGATTTATTCAGGGCAGTATCTACCTATATGAAAGTACACATAAGTGACAGGTTGGTGAACCTTAATCTGCATCTTTTCTCAGTGACAAGGTGTGTCAGGTAATGAGTGTGAACATTTGGAAAGGATGAAACTTACTTCAAAGTGCAAAAATCAGACATATATGGCTAAAGTTTCGAAAAGTACTGAATCTCACCTGAGATTTTTCAGGCATGATTTAAGTAAGGCCAACAAGCAGCGGGGTCTGATTTCCTCCAGTTGCAACAGCTGATCAAGCTTTGCATGCACAAGTGGACTTAAGGTTTTGTCAATTTAGTTCAACAGAAGAAAGGAAGTTTAGCATTAGGTGAGGTAGGAAGCCGCACTGGAGGTGATATTGATTCTGGGAAATTTAGTGGGTCCTGGTGTACTACCCAACTCAGTGGACTAAGTTGAAAAACTGGAAGAAATGATTACAGACAGGTCCGACAGCTTTAAAGATGTTGTTAGGGCTGAGCCAGCTCCCCAACCCCATAGTAGTTTCTGTCTAACGCTCTCCCTTCCACCTCAAGGCCCAAACATGGCCTTGAGGCCCTTTCATAATAATAAACCTCATTCAAAGGAATCTGTGTCAACTTCCTGAGCAGACCAACTCCTGCATGCTTTTGTCTTCTTTTATAACAGAAAATCTTCCTTAGAGGTTCAGAAGAAAAGCTGTGCCCCTCCACCGCAAACAGATGCCATCATTCCTAACCTTCAGTCTCAGAGGAGAGAAATGCCAAGTAAGAGCATGCTGAGCAAAATGTGAGCAGGAAGGGAGGAGGGCTGAGGAAGCCTGGGAGGGTGGTCCACTGGAGGGAGCTGGTCTGGTCTCTGGAATGAAACCAGAGCTTCCTTCCACTGCCTGTGAACAAATAAGAACTTGTTAAAGTCTTACAAATAATGACTTGTGAAATCTTTCTAGGTATCTGCTCAGAAACCCTGGAACAGTAAAGAGACAGGAGTCCCTGTGCAGTAGCTGCTGAAAGGAAGTGGCTTCTCGGGAAGGAACAGAGAGAAGCGTTCGTGTTACTTTTGGTAATATTAAGAGGGCAAGTAATTTTATTAAATATAGGTAAATTCAAGACATAAACATGTTACTAATACTGATGTTCAATTATTGGTATATTTTTAACCCTAGTTTGAGGACCTGTGTTACTATTTCAGTTTTAGAACTGTTCATTGTATACCTGGCTTTCAATACCTCAAAGTGTCCCAAAATTTACTGTCCTGGGGTAAAGTGAAACAAAAAGAGTGATGAAAACATTAGAGCTATCAAATTATACATATTTGTACAATTATTCTAAAACTTCAAAATTTAAAACCAGACAAGAATATTTACATGTTTTATTAAATTTACAATCAGTTAATTATAATCAAATACACAATTATATACAAGGATTATATACATTTTGCCCAGACTTTTACATCACAGTACATAGTTTCCATTAGAAATATTGTATACATTTATCACCAAACAATAAAACCCAACAACAGTAGTGTTACAGCACCTGTTAGTACAGACATCTTTTTCATAAATTACATCATAAGAAAATATACGGCTGTAAATTGGGCTTTTAAAAATGTCTTTTATAAAATCTGAACATACAATGTTTCATTCACAGAATGTTTTTTTTCTATGTTCTGACTGTAGCCTTGTGCATAAAACGACCAGTTGGACTATTTAGTAAATGCTACCCACCCCCTCTAAAATTATAAGCACTATCTGAATTACTTATGCTGCGCTTTCTTTATGATGAATTTGGCATGGGGTTTGGTGTGAGAACAAATGCTATAGAAAAGGTTTATAAGAGGATCATTTAATCTAAAAGAATTCCAGAGAGAATAATTAAATTAGAGAAATTAAAGTCAGAGTACATAATTTTTCATTTTAAGTCTCTAATACTATGAAGAAAAAGGAAAAGTAAAATATCACAAAATAATTTGTTCTGAAACAATTTTACTTTTTTTGAAGCTTATTACAAAAAGAAAAAATGAAAACCCACCCAACAAAATACCCACCCCAAACATATCTAGTAAATCACAATACTTTCACATTTAAATTTTATGGGAGAAGTATTGCAAATTAGGGCATATCATTTCAATGGACTTTTAAGTGGGGGTTGGGGGGAGCCCTATACCTATTTTTAGTAGGTAAATAAGTTTCAAAACTTGAAAATACCTGAATAAAATACTTGCTCTGATATCTAACTTTTAACTTTCAGGTAAAATCCTTACTTGATTCCAGGTTTGTAAACATTATATAAATCTCTCTTAGTCAAACAATTTATGGCTGTGGTGATCATTTCAGCTCTATTTCTAAGCAGTTAACATTTAACTGAGGTAGACCAGATGTTTCTAAACTCAGGGTCCCATGGAATTCCCTGAATCTTCAGCAAGTAAATAAAATAATCTATGAAAGGTTTTTAACAAACAAAACATCTTTAAACATAATTATGCTGTTGGGATTTTCTAATGAACTCAAAGACTACTTTGTGGCAGTGAGGCTAAGAAAAATGGAAATTGCCCATATAGCAATGTTCTGAAGTTGAACACATACCACCTTATTTCTTAAGTGGGGAAAAACTGAGTATCAGTCCTTCTAGATAATAAGTACAACTTGTTAAGTGTTTTTTCCTTAAAGGATTTCGTTTTTTTAAACAAACTGAGTTGCTTCTAAAACTCAATGAAAAGCGATAGCTCCCCCTAGCGGCCAAAGGAACGGCGAGTGGTCACGGCCATAAGCTAGCTTTTCCTGCAGAGTCCTGGGATCCTTAGCTTTTCCTGCAGAGTCCTGGGATCCTTCTCCTCTAGGGAAAAAAAATGATGCTGCTTTGATAACTTTAGAAGAGCTACATTTAGATAACAATGGCTTTGGGCTACCAACACAAAATCAAATTAATGAATATAAGGCTTCTGTAATCAAAGTCTCAGAGGAACATCTGTTCCTTTTCTCCAAGCCCCAGTCCTACAAATCAAGGCAAGTCAAGTAATTAAGCTTCAGCTATTTTGGCAGCTTTGCAGTCAAGATGAACAAAGCACGTCTATCCTGTACACTCTACGTATGTGTATAGTTCTATCTTCTTGCACCAAATTTCACATGCAGAGAGACTAAAAATATCCATTTTGGTCAGGTACTATTCTTTACCCTCCCCAGAGTGAATTCTCTTAAGCTCACTCATTGACCCAGTTTTGTTTAGCTGGAATATTTGAAAGTAGGTATTTATCCTCTTATAAAAGAATACGTTTACCTGGGATCTAGACATACTGTACATGAATATACAAAACTACAATACAGCACTGCTATCTCCAACAGCTCCATACATAGTCTAAGTTATTCAGTACCTCCAAACTATGTTGTAGAAAAAGGTTATTATGTAATATGGTAAAAAGGAAGTCTCTCAAATATTCCTTTAGAAATAATTAAGCTTAAAATAAATAAAATGAATAAAGCATGATTTCACTGCAGAGCTATCAATAAGCAATTTCTTAAAATTTCAATGTGGCCAGCATCAGACTGTCACAAAGTAAAAGGAAGAAAAAGAAAAGAGGAAAACCATCTTTTTTTTCTAACCTATATGGCTATATGTTGTTGGTAGTGTGCAAATGTTTTATACCGGTCACCACAGACTAATTTTCAAGTCCACATCAGAAGGAATATTTGTTAAAACAATACAAAATGAAACTAAAATCCATGATTCAACAGGAAAATGTGACAGACTCCTTAGGTGTAATATTTAGAAACCGGTTTCAAAGGAGAAAAACAGTAGTCACCCTAGGGATTACAGATCACTACCACAGTTTTAGCATGGCTCCATAAAGAGGAAAATGAAGAGTGTTAGTGATGTGGGCCTTCAGGCTCAAACTGTATACTTAACATGGGATGGAGTAAGGCTGATGGCCAGAGTAACCACCTTGAGAGAAATGAACTGGAAAAGATTTACAGTCTACCCCACAAGGATATAATGCTGGGTTCCATTTTAGAGTAGTCACAGCTTCCCCTATGGAAGGCCCATGGGAAGTTCACATTGCAACATCATCATTTCTCCATTGCTCTGTTAATCCAAAGTATTAAGAAACCAATTTACACAATATATAAGACCTCTTCCTAGTCCCACAATACTAGGTATTTAGATAGAAAACTCACTGACCAAGTTTACTGGCTTTGCCTTTGGTTTAAATGCTAAGGACATTGTTGGGGGGGGGGGGGGATCAAGTCATCTTGCTCATTTGTCACCAAATAAGTGAAAGCTATGAGCAGAAACTCATTACTGTGACTGCATCTGCTTCATAAGCACTCAGGTCTCCTAGTGTCCCTGTGAAGGCAGCAGGAGCATAATGCCACAACATGCATTCAAGTCTTCCCCAAAGGGCCTCCCCAAACCCACAGAGTGGAGCTTCCTTCAATCAGAAAGCTACACCAACTCCTGTTCCCCACCTCATATTAGCTGGATTTGTTTCTTGTCATATCTAGGGACTGCAGAAATATGGTTCCCAGGAATACCAGTAACTTTTCCCTGTCCTGATACATTGCAGGGTGTACAATGCAATCATTTGGATGGGACAATTTTAGTAAGGTCAGTTCTAACACAGCATGCTCCAGATTCCTATAATTACCTACCCTAGTCAGAACATGGTTACGCATCACCATACCCAGAGCCTCCCCCTGGAGTGTCTGCTTGGTATTAGGGTGTCTATAACCGCAGTTTACCTTTTCTTTTTAAACATCTACCACCAGAGTCTTTACAGAGAGTCATAGTTCATCCTTCTCCATCATTTCAAATGCTTCTATATCTTCACTCCAGTCTGCTAATATGGAGTCTATAGGCTGGACTTTTTTACCCCAGCTTGCATTAGGATTGGAATCTTCCTCAGCTTCTGATTGTTCTTGAAGGTGGTTATCTAAATCTGTACATTCACCATCAAGACTTGTAGTCTCGTGGCTTTCTGTGGGATTAGAGGTCTGTTCAGAAGAAGAAGTGCTCCTAGCATCCTCAGTATCTGCTGGCGATAAAGATTCTGAGTGAGAGCTCAGAAAACTTTCGTCAGGAGTCTCTCGATCAACTAAATCAACTGTCTGAGAAAGTGATACAATCTGCTCAGTGCTTTGATTCTGAGAATCATTTTCAGAGGATGGCTGTTCTTCATTTTCCATTTCAGGATCTGTATAGGAAAGAAACAAATTTCCTATTACTTTCCTCTCAAAAAAAATGTATCACACAAAGTCACACTGATTTTTGCAATAAAATGAAGAAATAAAGCAAAAAAACCCACATCAATGCAGGACGGTGAACAATGGCACTAAAGGTGCCAGATCTTTCTGTGCATTTATTTTGTACAGGATGCCAGTATTGAAAATAAATGTCGCTCTGAATTGAAAGGAACGACTTATTAATGTAAGATTGACTTGGATGAATATTAATAAGTAACAAAAGCACTAAACAATGTTCAAATGCATGTAAATTTACAATATGTAAATAAATTTAGTAAAAATCAGGGCTGGAGAGTTGGCTCAATGGTTGAGTTGTTGCTGAACAATCATTAGGACCAGAGTTCTAACCCAGCACACATATAACAAACCAGCATCATGCAAACATTGGCAATTCTAGCTCTGAGGGATTCTACAACCTCCATGTATGTGTATAGGTGTGTGTACACCCTCAAAAACATACATACACATATACATATATACAATTTACTAAATACCTAAATTTAATAAATCTTGTACATGAGAATATACTAAATAAAATAAATTTTAACAGCATATATCGTTTTATTTCTTGGAAAATTGAAATTTCCACTCAGTTCATTAGGTATTAATATTGCTCAAAATATTTTCACAAAGAACTGAGATTGTTAATAAAAGTTCGATTACTGTGTATCTTTGAACGTTAAAACAATTACTCTGAAGTCCCCTAGGAGGCTGAAGAGTGGACTACATTTCCTGGAATGAGTAAGAGACATAAAACCACCAAAGACTTAAATGTTGAGTCCTACAGTAGAGTGCTTACACAGCCTTGACACCCACAGACACATCCTGTGCAATCTCTGTTCCTGTGGTATAGTCAGCAGACAGCTCCTGAGTGGCCACTGTGCTTGGTGCTAGAGATAAGAAACAAGTCCAAAACTATACCTGCCTTTAAGCATCTTACAGTCCAATGAAGAAAAAATGTATTCACAAATAATGGATAATATTTACAAAGTAAGTGGATAGATACGGTATTAGGAGAGCTTGCACTGTCTTGTACTGACCCACTTGGAAAAAGTGAACTTTTTTAAAAAATATTTTATTATTTTTATTTTATGTGTATGAGTGCACTGCCTGCATGTAGGTAAGTGCACCCATGTCATGTAATGCCCACGAGGACAGAAGAGGCCTTCAGATCCCCTGGAACTGGAGTTACAGACAGTTGTTAGCTGCCATGTGGGTGCTGGGATTGGAACCCGGGTCTTCTGCAAGAACAACCAGTGTTCTTAACCGCTGAGCCATCTCTCCAGCCCCTTATTTTTTTGAGACTAGGTTTCACTATGTAATACTGGCTGACGTGAAACTTGCTATGTAGACCAGGTTGGCCTCAAACCCATGAAGATCCACCTGTCTGTCTCTGCAGTGCTGGGATTAAAGGTATGCAACATCATACTTGGCCCATTTTTGTTACTGTTGTTAATGTTTGCTGTAATTCTGCGTCCTGTGCTTGTATGCTTTAAAAGAAAAGTTGTTGAGCTTTTGTGTTTTCATGTAACAGTTCTTAATCAAATTTAGACTTCCTCCCCCATCCATGCCTCCCCCCAACCAGACCCCATGTATTCTGCCATACATGGTAAGTCCTATCCAGTCAAGCATTTGTACCCAGATGTCCCTCAGTATAAATTGGTCCACTGGAGTCTAGTCAGCCCATCTAGTATGTAAGACATACTCTCCCTCACCCAGTAGCAATCAGTCTCCAATAGTTCTCAGTCTAGGGCCAGCTGCCACCCATTTCTTTCCTCCCCTCTGGGTCCTTGTTGAGTTGGCATGGGTCTGTCCTATGTTGCATGCCACCATTGCCACAAGTTCACATATGCAAGTTTACAATGGCCTGAAAGCCTCCACTTCCCTGTGTTCATGAACCAGCCCTGGTTCTTACAATCTTTCTACCCCCTGTTCCACAATGGTCCCTTAACCGTGGGTGGGTGACATTCAATAGAGGAATCCTATCCAGGGATACACACTCCAGTCTTTCTTTCTTTTTAATTTATTGAGAATTTCATACATGCATACAAGGTGTTTTGATCAAATCCATGCCCACTCCCTCCCCTCTAACTCCTCCCATATCTCCCCATCACTTTTTTCTGATAACTTCATGTACTCTTTCTTCTTTTTTTAATGGGGCTTTTTGCTACTCTAACATTTCCCCCTCTGAAGAGGGAACCCTAAAATCTTTAAGAATTAGACAAGAGCTCCCAAAGACTTTTGATATTTTTGGCCTTTCTTCAGAGTATGGTGTGATGAGAATACGAGGTAGGAATTAACTAGGCAGTTAGGGTAAAAAGACTCCACAGAAAAGTAGCCAGTTTCTTGGCTAAAAGTCTAAATGTCCTTGGGCCTCTTAGCAACATGCTCCACTTGGAGTCTCTTATTCTTTAAAACTTGGCCAGCTGTTGCCTTCTGTGTGTATCATACTCTGCTGTATAAGGAAGCTTTACTGGTGAGAGTTGAGGGATACATTAGTTTCCTCATTACCCCTTGTGCTGGATAGCTTTAGTATCAACTTGACACACTTGGGTTGAGGGAGCCTTAACTGGGGAATTGCCTCTATTGGACTGGCCTGTGGCCATGTCTGAGGGGCATCTTCTTGATGAGTGATGTGGGAGGACCCAGCCCATTGTGGGTAGTGCCACCCCTGGGCAGGTGGGCCTGTGTTGCATAAGAAAGCAGGCTGAGCAGGGGCCAGGGGAGCAAGCCAGTAAGCAGTGTTCCTCCAGGCCTGTGCTCCAGCTCCTGCCTCCAGGTTCCTGCCCTAAGTTCCTACCTTGGGCTCCCAGATGAACTGTGACCTGGGATATGTAAGCTAAATAAACCATTTCCTCCTCAAGTTGGTATTGGTCAGAGTATTTTGTCACAGCAATGGAGAGACAAACTAGGACACCCCTTATTCTGCTATATTCCATAAGCCTCAGTTGGATGCTTTTTAAATGGGTTGTCACTGTTGCAAATCCTTAAATAAAACTGATTAAAATGTTTTAAAAAAGGAAAGCTTCCAAGGAAATCTGAGAGGCTCCCACAGAAAATGACATTTAAGCTTAGATTTAAACAGGAGTGCCTCACTAGGAAGTTTATATGTTGTTTCACTTCCTTTCTTTTTTATGGGGGATAGAGGCAAGAGTTTATATTCTTAGGTTTTCGGTTGTGTTTTGCTGCTTCTGATGGGGAGTGGGCGGAGTTCAGACATCTCAGTTTTCTGAACTGTCAGAGGTATAATTAAGTAGAGAGGGAAAATGGGGAGTGAGGACAGCTAAGGAAGCTTGGAATGCATTTACACTAGGCCACCATAAATTCCAACAGCAATAAAGCCTTCAAGCTTCTTTTTGACTATATAGTGCTACCTCAGGATAGATAAAGGTGTAGGGCTGCTCTGTCTAGTAATAAAGACTATGCTTGTGACTAAAATCACTCTTATGGTTGTATGTGATATATTATTAATTTGGGCATCTAGCTAATGCAATAAGATAACATAACAAGAAAAAGAAATATGACTACCACCATACTTTTAGATTGTGACTGTATACTAAAACAAAAGCAATTCTCATTTTTTGTAATAAACTGTTCATATTCCTTTACTTCAGAAACTTTCTATAGGCATGTAAGGAATCCAATAAATACTTGCTGAATTGACCTAATTATAAAAAGGATGGCTATCTTTTTTTCTTTTTCTTTAACTTTTTGCAAATTTCATAAAATCTATTTTGAGCATTTTGGGCCCTCGCCTCTATCTGCACCACTCTTGTAGCCTCCCCACCCTACTGGATTTCATGTACATCATATGTATTAAGGTCTACCTCGTCAAGTTTGTAAGTCTGTGTCCCCCAATGTCCTTTGGTGTAATCCATTAATTGGAGCTTGGTTAAAGAAAACTGACTCTCCCTCTCTCAATAGCTGTCAGTTGCCAATAGTTCCTCAGCTAAGGTTGGGGCTTCTACCCAATTCCCTACTTCTATGCTAGGATTTTATCTGGTTTGAGCTTGCATGGGTCTTGTGCATGCTGTTACCACTGCTGTGAGTTCCTATGAGTAACTTCCCAATTGTCTGGAAAACTCTCTCTCCTTTTGGTCAGCCACCACCTCTGGCTTTTATAATCCTTCTGCCCCCTCTTCCACAATGATTCCTGAGCCTTGGGTAGCAGAGGTGTCCTATTCAGGGATAAGCACTCTGCAGTCTCTTATTCTCTGCACTTTGGTCAGTTGTGGCTTTCTGAGTTAATCACCATCTGAAGAAGCTTTGCTGGTGAGAAGCAACTCTAATTTAAAAAATACTGTTAAAGGTAATAAAAATTGGTCAGAAAAATGAAAATAACTGCAATTATCAATAACTTGTCTGCAGTAGCACTAATTAGCTAAAAATAAAACCATAAATTCTTTCCATAATAAAAGAAACCCATAAAACAGTTATGACAGGTGTAAGGTTCATATTGCTTAAAAGTATAAGATTACAATACAAACATAAAATAAGCTAATTATAGGTATGTTCCTGAACAGAAAGTCTTAACATTTACCATTTTCCTAACCTACATGAAAAGAATTAATTCCCAAATTAGTCTCATTTCTACTTTTTTTTGTTTTTTAAACTACACAAAGTTGAAATCTAAAAACCATTAGTCAGGGGAAGAGCTGTCATATGTAATATTAAAATTTATTCAAAAGAGTACTTTTTATTACTGGCACAGGAATAAATAGCTTAGCAGAACAGAACTGCAAATGTGATATTACTGTTTCTTTTCTTCTTTTTTAGCTTATGGACATACAGAATATAAAATAGAGGCGGCGGCAGCAGATCAAACTAGAGTTAGAGAAATACAAAGGAGCTGAGATGGGCCACATTATTCTATCTTCACTCACTTTAAGGTACCTGATTTTTACCAGTCTAAACAATACAACAACTAAAACATTAAATTCAGGAATGCTGTATCAGGAACACAGGAAACAAAGGAAGACTGGAGAAAAGCCCATGATACAAAGAAAAGCAGATGTTTTCCAAATAAAAGGGAGGAGAACTTTGAGAAAGACTTGGAGCGGATGTTCCACAGTCATTCATTTATCGGCATATTCAATGCCTACTGAAAGCAAAGCACACAGAGTTCAGAAGACCTATATAATAAAGCATCATGTAATGTCATCATAGAACTTTATTTTTTTAAAACCACTAAAATGTGCCTAAAACAAGAGAAAAGGCCATAAAGAAGGTGGTATTTTAATTGGGTATTAAGAATGACTGAACATTCTCAAAGGGAAAAGGGCCATAGGTATGTGTCAAAGACTGATAAGGCATTTCCAGAGAGAAAGGAGAGAGGTGCAAATGCAACAATGCATGCAGAAACCTGGCTGGCCTAGGGAGGGAGGCAGGGAAGTACTGTCCTGCTGCCAAGAATGCTGGGATGTTCCTCTCCAGGTTAAGAGCCATCTGCCTCAGAATCGGTTATTCTCACCAGAATCCATTCCTTTTAACAACCTAACTTGCATAGTTCAACTCTAGGACATAGATACACTGCAACACCTTTAGATAGAGGTTATTTTAGGAAAACTGACACTGCTTGGCTTAAACTTGGAGCAGCTCATAGAATGAGACTTTCCTTTTAATCTTTCTTCCATTGTCTTGTCTACCTTTTTATCAGATGGAGCAGCAGCCTTGAAAACATTTCTCTACAGCCCTAGGGCACTATAGCCCTGTAGTCCATGCAAGCATGACACATGCTGGAGCTTGAAAATGCTGATTTTTTTCCCCTCCACAATATTATGGAGAAGAGGAATTGATTCTGAATTATAAACTGCTTCCATTTAGATCTAAAGGTAACTAGCATATTGTCTTTTATTTTTTGATATGGGGTTGGAATCATTAAATATTTTTATAAACTCAAATTCTCAAAGAAGAGACCTAAGAAACACAGTATTAAAACTTCTGTTCAACAACAGAGTGTGGACAGCTTAACTTGTAAAAGTGTCACAGGTTTCACCCAAGGAAGCCACATTTCTACTTGATAAAGTTCTAATGCTTAAGCTTCTGAAGACTGTGTAATTAAGACCTTTGAAAACTGTTGCTAGCAAGTAGGACAGTATCAGGCATAAATATGTTAATGGCTGGAGATTTTCCAAACCCTAGGTGCAAAGGACTACTCTGCCAGGAAGCAGTGTGACTTCATACAAATTTATGGAATGAGGCTTTTTTTGGAGGGGCAATTCAGAGACATCTATTGTTTGTATTTTAAGGTGGTTATTACTTGGGGATACTTTGTAATTCGGGTTAGAACTCAAGAGCCAGAGCTGGGAGACAGTAAAGGCCTTTGAGGGTTTCCTTCCACGTTTCTCTAAGTACAGGAAGGAACAGCTGCATTATAATCACCTGGGATGTGTGTTTCAAAAGTAGATTCTGACCCCAGCCATCAGAGAATCTGATTCAGTGCTGTGGAGAAGAGCGCAGGGGCCTCCACTTTTAACAATTATATCAGCTTATTCTGATGAAGGAGAAAATGTGACGTATGTGGTCATAGTATGGGACAAATTAATGATAACCACAGACTTTAACTGCTTAGAATATTATACTAAGTGAATAAAGTAGCTGACTTCATTAAACTAGTATCACAGATTTTTCTTAATGATTATAACTTGTTGCTGATTTAGTTAACACTGTTATATATTTCTCAAAGAGCTATTACATACAAAAAGGGATTTTTGAAACATTTATCAAAGGAGTACTCTAACAGATTAATAACAATAAACTTATAGACTATTAAAATGTTTTAAATGTCATTTAAACAATGTCTTTTTACTGTAACTTTTAAAGTAAAATATTTTGTTTACTAATTTTATGTGTATGAATGTATTGCCTGCATGTATGTAAGTACACCAGTGTCATGCAATGCCTGCAGAGGTCAGAACAGGGAGTTGGATCCCCCAGAACTGGAGTTATGAACAGTTGTTAGCCGCCATGTGGGTGCTGGGAATCAAACCCAGGTCCTTGCAGTCAAGAACTGACTACTTTTCCTACCCTTTCCCTGGTAGAGGGAGCACATTCTTTACCATAACCTTACAGTCCAAATCCCACGTGTTCCTCACCTCCACATGGGCTTATAAAGCATGCCATTATTTACATTTTTATATTGTATTAAAATAAAAGATGATGCTGATTCAATTAAACAGCAATGCAGATGTTAAGAGAGTGACTCACATGGAAATAGACTAGTGAATCCATCTAGGGTATGGGATGCACAGTTAATAGAATTAGTTATAGCAGGATCAATAAGGAATTATTTTTATGGGACAGCTGACTGGATATGAAAGTTGCTATGCTAAGCTATATTATCATAGTACTCACTGAAACAAAATTATATATGTATGTATATGTTTACACATACATCCATATATAATTTAAGGTTTATTAATGCAAGATACTTACTACTATTAATAATGAAGCTTGGAATCATTTTACCTTTTAATATTGCTGCTGAAATTCCAATGGTAGCACAAAATAGGGGGAGAAAAGCAAAGGCATTAAAGACTTACATAGAATAATCTTAATTTGCCTGTGTTTGATGCACCTAATTGCACAGTAGAAAAGAAGATGTGAATTTTGAAAAAGCGTCCATGGGAAAAAGAAATCAAGCACATAGGAGAATTTAAGATTAGAAAAACCTTTGTATTCTGTTTCCATCTACACATCCTGACATCACACATCCTACTCAACTCATTCCACTGCCCTTAAATAGCTGACAATTCAAAGAACCTCAAAGGATAGCGCAATAAAAGAAGACAAAACATGGATTAGGACAGCCCTGCATTGTTAACATTTTTAAAAAGATGTCTCATTTGAAAGTCATACTGAATTAAACCAGTTTCCCAAGTACCCGTCAAACATCCTATGGGATATAACAACCCTCTACAGAGTATACAGCTCCATTCATTAAGGTAGACAGGAGAGCACAGGTGCCTTCAGCAGATAAGAAAAACTGCTTCTAGAAATGGGATTATAGCCTACAGCCAACTTCCCCTTTACACAGTAAGGTTTCAAAGAACTTTCAAATCACTGACCACATTTTAGCCGCAGTAATATCATATGCTATGTGAGTTAAGGCAAAGGCATACTCTCCTGCTCTTCAGGTAAGGCCATGTGTAACTCATAATATAAACACCCATTTGATAACTTGGACCGCAACAAGGAAAAAGAAGTGGCTACATTTCTACGCCTTCAAGACAGTGTCAGGAGACTATAGGTGGCTGGGGAGACAAGCTATTATCATCCTGCACATACCACCATCCTAAACACTCTTCATATTCCATGTAAAAGAGATATAAGCTGCGGTACTATGAAACAAAGCTGTGAACATTTTAGATGCCAAAATAGTTTTCTTGATGTTGCATGTTTATCAGCTGGACAGAACCATGGCAAAATTGTAAACTACATATAAAAAATGTAATTCTAAAAACATTCTAATTCAGCCAGCAGAGTAATATTTTACTACTCTTATTTTCAAATGAAAAATTCTAAACTACTTTCTAAAAGTTTTGTTTTACCAGTGAACCAAAAAGGAAAAAAAAAGAAATCTTAACTTTTTATAACCATTTCTGTTATAAAGAGACTAGAAGCTAGCCTGCTATGCTAAAAGTCACTTTCCATCCTTACCTCGATCTTTGGCTTTATCAGAAAGGAGCACTTCCACCTCCTCATACTCCCGGATGGCATCCAGAATGATGCTCCCTTCCTTACTGAACAGGAACAGCATGGGGATCTTTATGTCATCCGTGTCCTTCCCATCTCCAGCCATCTGGAACAGCGGGGCAGTATCACTACTGCTCCCCTCATTGTCATCTAGCAGAAAACCACCAGGCAAACATCAGATATCTAACCACCAAAAGCAGTGACTGCTGCCTGTTCCTACTGACAGAATTAATCTTATGCACCAGAAAAGCAACTGTAATTTTTGGACCAACTAATTTTAGGATTTATCACAAGGAAATAACTGAAGCAGCAAAAAACTCTAAACCCAAAGAAATTAACTGGAGTGTACAATTATAAGCGATTATAAATTATAATCAACTACTTGTAAACAGAAAAATATTTGAAAAGCACAGAACACAAACTTCTATGATTATGACTATAAAAATTTCATATGTTTAGAAATGGAAAATTTTAATGACTTGGATCACACTGACAGAATTATGAATAAATTTTGTTAAGACCTTTTCTAAACTGTCATTACAATTTGAGCATTCCTAATTAAAAACTTTTAAATGCTCTGAGATCACAAATTTTTAGATTAGGAATGCCTAACTGATAAAGCCTATGTGAATATTCTAAAATCCCAAACTTTCCAAAATTTGAAATACTTCTAGTTCCAAACATTTTGGATATGTAATTCTCAACTTGTATATTGGTTTTGCCAAACTACAAATTGATAGTTCTTTTTCTATAACAAAATGAATAATTATGATACAGTGAATTTTCTGTAAGCTGAATTAAATGAACAGTACTGCTATATACAGGTCAAACATTAGTATGTCTGTTAAATTCTCTGCTATAGTATAAATGCCAATCACATTCACTCCCAGTCTCACATATCAGTCTTCCTGAAGAGACCAGTGGCACTGGTCTCCTACAGCAGCTGCTTCCATAGGCCCCCCTGAGTGCTGATACAATGTGTCCTTCTCTTAGTAATAACTGATGAGAAGAAGGATCATGCCTGAGGAAACTACAACTGTCACAGACTTTCTGTTAGTGGTGAGGAGCAGTTCAGTTAGTGATTCATACATAGGCTGAGGCTGCCGTTTTGGGACTGTGAACAAAAGGAGAGGGAGCAGGCTTGTGAGGAGATGGAGAATGAGGCACAACTGCAAAGGGCCAAAAGACAGCCAGCAGTAGATGGAGAGAAATGTAGAAACTGTCAGCTAGTGCTCTGGCTGAGTCTTAGTTCCCACTTGTACCTGCTGGAAAATTCCAGTTGTATTTCTTATTCTTGGGTTGAATGACAACAATCCATTTCCACATAATAAACAAACTTCCCTTCTCAAACCAATTAAGTAAATTATTACCTCTTGCAGCCAAATGATTTCTAAGGTAATCAGTACTTTTAGTCTTTGTAATAAAAAAAAAAAAAACCTATACCCAAATTTACTCATTTATATATAGTTAGAATAAAAAAAAATGAAGGAAAAGAACCCGGGGTGTAGGTGGGGAATCACACATAAGCTAATTTTCTCTTTAAAAATTAAAATTTCTGAAGGCAAAAATCTTTGTCTTATTTCTCCATAGACTCTAATATAGGATTTTGCACCAACAGCTATTAAATAAAATGTTTGATTTAAAAATCTTTGCATATTATAAAACATGTTGAAAATTAACTTCACCCAGAAATTGGGAAAATCTAAAATCTTACACAAAGAATTTTTTTTAAAAAAAAAAAAAAAAAAACCCTGATGCATATGGCTCATACTGTTTGATACTAAATTCTTCAGTAAAAATAACCTCACTATGAGAAACAACCCAGATAAACAGATAAAGGGCCATGGAGATGCTTCTGTTATAGTGAAATAACTGCCACAGAAGCATAAAGACCCACATTTGGACCCCTAGGACCCACATAAAAACTGAGCCTGGGGAACACATTTGTAACTTAGTGTTCTCTCTCTCTCTCTCTCTCTGTGTGTGTGTGTGTGTGTGTGTGTGTGTGTGTGTGTACCGAGATGGAAAGATCCTTAGAACTCACTGGTCAGCCAGTCTAGCCAACTGGTAAGCTTTGGATTCAGCGAGAGACCTTCTCTCAAAAAAATAAGGTAGAGAACAATTGGAGAAGACACTTGGCATTCACCTCTGGCCTCCCACACATATGTGCATGTATATGTGCACACACATATAAACATGTATTCATACATACAAAAAAATTTAAATGAAAAGGATGGATTAAGTTTGGAGTCAGCAAATATTTCCTATGACTGGCTCTACAGTAAATATTGTTAGCTTTGCAGTTCTGTGTTGCAATAGTACATTCCTTACTCTGTGTTTCCACATGTGGTTTTCTTTCTGGCTTCTTTATAAAAAATATTTTATTTTTTGTGTGAGTGTTTTGCCTGCATATATGTAAGTGCACTCATGTCATGCAGTGCCCATGGAGGCCAGAAAGGGCATCAGATTCCCTAGAACTGGAGTTATGGATGGTTGTTAGCTGTCAGGTAGGTGCTAGGAATTGAACCCAAGTCTTCTGCAAGAGCAGTCAGGGCTCTTAACCACTGAGCCATCTCTCCAGCCCACCCCTTAAACTTTTAAACTAACGAAATGCATTCATTTAAATCCAATGGGATAAAAATGTTCTAGCAAATATTGCTTATGTGTATGTCCACTAGCATACCTAGAAATTTTAAACCTTACAACTATCTAAAGGGTATTTACTACCATTTTCAGTGGACCTCAAAAATTCTTCAGAATAAAGATAAAAATAACTGAAACTGGGCCAAGGCTCCACTGCTCTGTGGCAGAGCCAGGAACTATACCCACATGTCTCTGGTCCCAAAGCCTGCCTCCCTGTGGAGGATGGAAATCTCCAATGGCTGCCCATAGAGGTGGCAGAGTGTAGCTCTGGCCTTGAGGAGATTTGGGGTCTCAAGGGCACATTTTCTTTTTCATACTATGAGACATTTTCACAGCACCATGAGTCTACCCTCATACCTTATCCCAAATACTTTTGTTGGTGTTAATATATAGAAACCAGTATCTAGGTTTTCAAGGAGAATATTAGATACATAGAATTTATTAAAAGTCATTGAATCAACTATCCTATATATTGTAAAAAATAAAAATAACCTGACAAACCTTTGATAAAATTTTAGAAAATAAAAGGAAAAATTTTTAAAATTATCTCTAGACAATAAAATGACAGAGTTACTTACCAATAACAATGCCACCAATGGCTCCAGCATTCTGGATGTTGCGTGCCTTTTCTGCAAACATGCATTGTCCTCTTTGAATCAAAGCAATTTTTCCCATCACTGCCTCAGGGTTAGTAAGCTCTGAACAACCATTATATGGTTTACTGCTTGCAACAAATCCTCTTGTCTGTCAGAAATAAAAGTAACCTAAATCTTTTATCTTCTTCAATTACAATCTAGCCATTTAACTTCAATATCTAGAGCTTTAAGGAAACTAAAACTGATAATATGTGTGTGTGTGTGTGTGTACATGTACATGTGGAGACTACAGGTCAACTTCAGCTGTCATTCCTCAATAGGATCTCTTGCTGGAACCTGGGAATCACAAATTAGGCTAAAATTTCTTTTTAATTTATTTACCTGTATACATTTTTAAAGACTCTTTTAATTTAAATAGAGAAGGTTGAAAGTTTAGGTGTTCTGTTTTGTGGTGCTGGGGACTAAAACCCCAGTCTCACATATGTGTTCTACCAAGTTATACCCATAGTCCCTGAGTGTTAAAACAAACCTATTAAATTAGAGACAAAGGAATCAAATACTTATTTAAATTTCAATATGCTTACTGAGGTAGACATACCTCTTTATGTTTAGATAGATCCAGCCCAAATTGAGCTGGTCCAGCAGTCAAGACTACCCTGCCAAAAAATGGGTGGGAAACAATTTGCACAGCTCGTGGAGGTAGCTGCTGTTCTTTCTGTTGTTGACTTGACAATTCAATCATCTCTTGCATGAACCGCAATCCATCTTCAGCATCGATTGAACTGGCAGCCTACGAAAGAAACAGATTTGATTTATCCTTCCTTCCTACAAACTTCCCCATCTTTTTTATTTCCTAAGTACATTACATTTTAGACTGCTGTTTGGAATTTCTCCCTTTAGTTTAGGTTCCTACTAAGTATGTCCTGACTTGACTTCAAAATACTTTCAGAAATTACGTTTTCTGAAATAATTTAAAAAATTAATTTCTTTCCTTTTTTTCAGAAAATGATGTTGTTTGCTCAGAGTCAATGTGCTAATATGGTAAATGACTTAAAAGATGTCATGTTATAAAAACTTTAAAGTAAAAATCAGTAAAAATTGTAGGAGTTTGGGGCTGGAGAGATGGATCAGTGGCTAAGAACACTGACCGCTCTTGCAAAAGACCTGGTAGAGTTCCCAGCACCTACACTGCAGCTAACAATCATCTGTAACTCCAGTTACAGTGAATATGGTGCTCTTGTCTGACCTCAGTGGGTACCAGGCACATAAGGAATGCTCATACATACATAAGGACAAAACACTCATCTACATAAAATAAAATCTATAAAAAAAGGAACTCAAACAACAACAACAACAACAACAAAACCCACATAAATAATAGTTTATGTTTAGAAAGAGCTGGAAAATGGCAATCACATATTAATCATGAATTCTTCTGTTTAGCTTCTCTCCCAGGAAAGTTCATTTTCTGTTTTTCTTTTCCCTAATTAGAGCATGTTTCTAAGTTGAGAATGCAAAAGACATTTAAAGGGCTGAGGATGGGGGTATAGCTCAGTGGCATTGTTTTGACCCTAGCACCCTGAGAAACAAAAGATATTTACACTTTTATTAGAATTTATTTCAGCAAAAATAAGTTACTATTCCTTTTGTTTATTCTGTGTGAGTACTCAAATGCTGATTTAAATGCAGATTTTTATTTCTGTGATGAATGAAACAATTCAGTAGCCTTTGAAAACTAAATGTGAAATCTTAATTGATATTAAAAATTAACTACAAACTTTTAAAGTTATGCTCTAAATAAAATATTGGCAAGGCAATGAACTGAGAAAGAAGATTTAGATTTGAGCTCTATCTTTGACTGTATTAATAAAAGCAAATTACCTAACCTGATTAAAATGAATCTGATATCTTTCCAAGACACTTCCAAGTATACTTCTAAAGTATACTTCTAAAGTGTTAAGAAATCTAATGTCATTATCTTATAAAGCTAAAGAACAAAGAAGAGACAGTATCTAATTAATACAGCAATGTCTTACTTGGATTGCATGCTGGACCAACTGGACTCGCCCATCTTTGAGGTGAATCAAACTCACTCCCATCTTCTTCAAGATTTCTAAATGCTCAGGGTTAGTGGCCATAAAATCTCTGGCTCTCAGAGGAGGTTTAGCTCCACTTCTGAAACTCTCCTCTCTGCTGAAAGGAATCACAAACAAAGGTTAGAAAACTACACATTACAACTAGTGAAACAGAAAAGGCAAATAATGTTAGAGATTTACAAAACTGCTAATTTTAGAACTAGTAAAATTGAGATAAATGGAAAGTTATTTTCCTACAAGTAATTTTGGTTATTAACAAATTGTACCACTTTCAATTATATTTTCCAGTTAAATAAAGCATGTACAGTATCTACCTAGAAGTATTAACAGTGCAACTATGTGAAGACACAGAGTAAGTCTGCCTACGGTTTTGTTACTATTGGTAACTTCCTCTTAAAAACCCATATTTTCCTCCCAATATTTTAATAGCAAAACAGTACTTGTATCTGTAGATAACAAAGCTCACTTCATTTCTTTCTTTTACTTCCTTGCATTGGCCTTTCTATTAAAGTGCCTCCCTAAAAAGTTAACAATCAAGAATAAGAAACACTTCTTAAAATAAAGCAATGAAACAACGGTGACAAAAACACCTGTCTTCCACCACAGAGAAACTATGGACATAAGGAGGGAAGCATTTCTTACACATATACAACATACCCAAAATTGTGATGAATCACAATGAGCAAGAGAAATTAAAAACTATTATACACTATTCACTATTATTACTTAATCCAGAAAAAAAATACATAGAAAGAGCATATCATAGTAATTTTTGTCCAGTAATTACTACATTCCTGAATAGTTTTGGTCAAGATGAAAGTCTTTTTGACTATTATAGCTCCTTAAGCACTCTGTCATTTACTATGAACTAACTCAGTATTAACAGATATAAAATAATACATCTTACACTCTGATGATGCCTCTTGGACAGCTCTTATCCACCACATTTTTTAAGGGTTCACGAATGCTCTGAGCATACAATGGATCATTAGGGAAAAGAATCTGAGTGTTTGGACAAGTCCAGTCAAAATTACTGTCATCCAGTTCTGTGTATCCTGAGGTCTATAATATAAAAAAAGTAAATAAAAAAATAATTGTTTTAGTTAATATTATGGTTTAAAAGGAACTATCTATGAAATAAGAGTATATACATAAGACGATATTATAAATACATTTCCTCCTACTATCCATATATTAGGTGAATTCTGCTTACTTTTTACTTAGAAAAATAAAACAACTATATAGAAGTGAAAAAGTTAATGAGGTACTTAAAACTCACTGTGTTCTTCTTAGAGATGCTTCGATTTGTAGTCGAGAGCCAAAGAGGTAACAGATGTGCTTCTGTGGTAAAGATGTAATCTTCTATGTCAAAAATAATGTCTTCTTTATCAGCAAATAATAGGTAAAGATATTTAAACATTTCAGCCAAGAAGAAAGAATCCATTCTAAATTGAAAAGTCACAAATAAATATTAAAAGCACCCGAATATGAATTAAAGTCAATAACCCTGTCTACACAGTTCAAACAGCCAAAGAACTGCAGAACATTTTAATCCCCCAATGTCAAAATAACCTTGACCCATATAAGAATCTTCAACTAATGTTAACAGATGGATAAAGGAATACCACTTGGACAACATTTATTATGCAACACTTAAATAAGGCTTTAAAGGTAAAGCATATCATTTATTAAAAAATTACACAAAAATGAACACAAAGCCATAGAACTTTAAAAAGTTTTGTAAATATTCAGAGAGAATATTCACACAGAGATTCCTGAAGTGAAATAAAGGGAACAAAAGTACGAACAGTTTAATCTTATAATGTTTTAGTAACATTTTAAAGAAAAATGTAAATAAAATTAAATGTCAGGAAGAGTATAGGTGGTCGATGGAATTATAACATCAAATTTAACTAAAGTTACTACCGCTCAAGGTAGGCTATAAAGGGGGGAGGGGTCTTAATATAATCAAAATACATTGTATGAAATTCTTGAATCAACAAAATATTTTAAAAAGCTGGGCATAATGGCACATGCCTTTACGCTCAGCACTTGGGAGGCAGAGGCACATGGCTCTCTGTGAGTTTGAGGCCAGTGTGGTCTACATAGTGAGTTCCAGCAGGCCAGCTGGGGCTACAGGTGACCCTGTTTCAACAAGACCAAATAAGTAAATAAATAATAAAAAAAAAATTTACTATCTCCCCAAACAAAGCATACAAGCATGCAAGGTTTTTGGGTTTTCCTTTTGAGACAGGGTCTCTGTAGCCACAGCTGGCTGGAACTCCCTATATAGACCAGGATGTCCACTTCACAGAGATCTGCCTGCCTCTGCCTCCCAAGTGCTGGGACTAAAGGTGTGTGCTACCATGCCCAGCTTGCTTCCAAGGTTTTGACAGTAATAAAAAAGTGTAGTTACCGAACAGGTTATACAGTATCATACTTCTGGTCAAACTCAATTCCTGGCACAAAACATACAAAGTGCTTTGCAGAGCACTTGGCGTACAGGAAACAGTTCACATCACAGATACAGTCTTTGCTTTCCTTTCTTGATGTTATTTGTATGTCCACTTCCAGAAACCTAGCCATTTCTCATCAGCTACAGTCAGGGAAGGGTGTTCCAAGCCTAATTAACTACTTCCCGAACACTCTAGTGAAGGACTGCAAGACAACCCTGTGAGGTTGTGCGTGTCTGAGTGTGCTGCGCTCCTCGTGCCTTCAGTCCCTCTGCCTGACAGGGCTTTCCTTTTGTCTGACTCTTGCTCATTCTTCAGGACTCAGGATTCTCCAGGAACACTGCAGTGACTATTACATCCCAGCTTGCAGTTTGTGTCTCTTTCACGTTTCACAACGCTTACACAATACTTTAAAGGCTCATTTATCTGCTTGTCTTCACTGATTCAGTAACTCAAAGAACATGCCTTCACATCTCTCTAACCCTTAAAAACTAGTATAGTGCTGGCATGTAACAGGCCTCAGGAATATTTATGGAATGGACATTCACTAGCCAAATGAACAAAGTAAGATTGCAGTGGTCATTTAGAGAAGCAATAATGGTATAAGTGATCTTGGAATTACAGGAATGTTAGTGACCATCACACTGATCAAAGTGCACCCTTATCACTGAGTTCTTCATGCTGTCGACCTCTCTCGAATCCAGTGAAACAGAAACTACCACTGGTCTTCCCCACCCCTCCAAACAAGGAGCAGAATCAGAGACCATGACAGTGTTCTTGAAGAATTCTTGATTGAATATGAGTCATGGTCCAGACCTTCCATCATCATTTTTATCATTTCTTTGATGTAATATTAAAAACACTATTAAAGCACAGGAGTAATGTCCCTAATATCAGGTTCTGATATATATTTATCTACTTAAAAGTCACCTGGGCACCTACTACATACCAGGCACTATGATAAAAATGTGGATTTTCAAACAATTTAAAATGAATCTTTTTTTTTTCTTCTTTTTTTGGTCTTTTTGAAACATGGTCTCCCTGTAGCCCCAGCAGGGTATGGTGGTGCATGCCTTTAATCCCAGCATTTGGGAGGCAGAGGCAGGTGGATCTCTGTGAATTCAAGGCCAGCTCGGTCTACAAGTGAGTTCCAGGCCATTTGGGGCTACACAGGAAGACCCTGTCTCAAAAAAAAAAAAAAAAAAAAATTATAAAATGAGTTTATTCAATAAAGTTTTTAAAAAGCACAATGAACCAAGGTTAGTACCCTCAAATACTTTTTGTAAAAACATTAAATTGATCTGACTCCTAACCAGTAGCTGTATTTTGTGCTATGTCAGTTGCCAGGGAAAGGAGATTAGTAATTGTTTTACCTGTCCTCATGACTCCCAGTGCGAACATCTTTCATGGCAGCAAACCCACAAGGCACTCTAGCATACTTATTTAAATTTTCAATGAGGGTTTTCCCTACTTCAAGGTAGTAAGGGTCTCCTGTAGCCTATTAAAAAGGAGAATATATGTGTACATTAACATTGCTTATATATTATCATATACCCATTCATGTACCCAGTAATTATTAAGTACCTACTAGATGCCAGGCACTGTATCAGTCACTAGAAATCATGTTTCATAGGCTCTGGATATAATAATAAGCCATGGATCTGCTTTGCAGATCTTAAATAACAGGTGAACACTGGAAGTCTCAGCCTTTAAGTTAAATTTCTAAACACCCAAAGTGTTCTCCAGTTGAAGATGGGAGAAATGCTTCAAGAAACAGCTCTAGAATACAAAACTTCTCTTAAAAGAAACGATTACAGAAGTTATTTTTGAAAAGGCATAAAATGCACATGTCAAGTCTTATATCTCCCTATAATTCTATGGGCTAGATGAATTCAAATTGTGATAAGTCCAAATATTACAACACAAAATACCAATTTTTTTATTATAAAAAAGCAAGAGACCCAACAGCAAATGGAGGCTAAAAAGGCAAAAAGTGGTAAATTAACTTACTTTATATAAGAAGTAGGTACTTTCTGCAAACTCTGGCCTTAAAGGATGTTGAGCCCAGTGCACCCTGAAATCTGTAGTAAATGCCTGAACAAAGCATATAAATAGGTATAAAAATGTAATTAAAAATAAACAAGTAGTTCTAGAACATGTAAGTAATAATGCATAAAATCATGAATAGGAAAAATTAAAATACAAATCATGATGTATTTTCACCCATAAAGCACTGAATGCCACTGCTAAAATCATAATTCATTCATGGAAAGGCTACTGTTTTTCCATCTTACTGGATTATATTACTCTTATGTGTGTACATGTGTGCACACATGTGAACATGTTCACGTGTGTGCAAGTGGTCAATCCTGGGTGTTGTTCTTCAAGTGCTATACCTTGTTTTTTGACACAGGGTCTCTCACGGACATGGGGCTTGCCAATTAGGCTAGGGTGACTAACCAGTAAGTCCCAGGGATCTACTGGTCTCTACCTTGCTAGCACTGGGATTACAAGTGTGCACAAGCATGCTCAGCTTTTTACACGGGTTCTGGGGATTGAACTCATCCTTGTATGACAAGCACTTTACCAACTAAGTCATCTCCCCAGCCCTACATTATTTTTTTTTTTAAATAGCCAATTGGACCAGCAGGAAAATCAGAAAAGCTCAGTAATAAAATTTAACAAAGCTCTATAGCTGGTAAAGATATTTTCCCATTCTGTGGGCTGTCTTTTTATTTGAACGGGAGTGTCTTTTGCTGTACAGAAGCTTCTTAGTTTCATGAGGTCTCATTAGTCAATTGTTGGTCTTAATGCCTACATTATGGGGTCCTGTTCAGAAAGTCTTTCCCTGTGCCTATAAGTTCAAGTGTGTTCTCCAGTTTCTCCTCTATCAGATTCAAGGTAGCAGGTCTTATGTTGAGGTCCCTGATGCATCTGGAATTGGGTTTTGTGTAGGAAGAGAGGGAATCTACTTTCATTTTTCTACATGCAGCTATTCAGTTTGTCTAGCACCATTTATGGAAGACTCCATCTTTTCTCCAATGTGCTTTTTGACCTCTTTGTCAAAAGTCAGGTTGACAAACTATATAATTGTGGTTTTTTGTTTTTTTCCTTTTTCCTCTTAATTGGTAGGACCAATCAATCGATCGATAGTTGAAACTTCATTTTATTCCTTATGAATACAAACTTTCTGTAATACAAAGTCTTACTCACCTGAAGGCTAATAAAACTATACTTTTCAGAACTAATTCTAAGTTAATGGAAAGCTTAGCTACATTACAGAGGGAACTCACTAATCAGAAACAGAACAAGGCTATAAATATATATGAAATTTGTAATGGTATATTTCTGAAAAGCTAAAAGTATGCTATTAACATCTTTTCAAATCAATATAGCAAAGGTATTTATTTCTAAAATAATATTTTTAAAAAAGAAGAGACTTTTCAGTTAGCATGAAGACATTCTTCAAATTTTTAGGATAAGTGCGTGACCACCAAAATTATATCCAATGCATATAGCTTTCATCAAAGTTTCAGACTATAACAGACAACAAAGTCTCCCTAGCTGGTCGGCATATGTTAGAATGAGGAACAGCAAGATGGCTCAGTATATAAAGGTACTTTCTGTTACAAGCCTGACAACCCAAGCTTGATCCTCAGGACCCATGTAAAAGTAGAAGAAGAAAGCTGAGTCCACAAAAGTTGCTCTCTGACCTCCACATATATGCCATGGCATGCAGGTGCCACCCCCCCAACCCCAAATGTGTACATGCACATCCACAGAATAGTACAGTTTAAAAATTTAAAGTTAGGGGGCTGGAGAGATGGCTCAGTGGTTAAGAGCACTAGCTGCTTTTGCAGAGGACACAGGTTTGGTTTCCGGCACCCACATGGCAGCTAACCACCATTCATAACTCCAGTTCCAGGGGATCCGACACTCTTTTCTGACCTCCACAGGCACTGAATGACACGGGTGCACTTATAGACATGCACGCAATACACTCATAACATAAAATAAAAATAATAAATAAAATATTTTTTAAAACACTGAAAGTTAGAAAAAAAACTTTAAGTTAGAATGAGACAGTCTTAGGCTGGTGATATATCTCAGTAGTAGAACACTTGCCTAACATGCACAAGACCTTCGCTTCGATCCTCAGCAATGCACACATTTTAAAATAAACAGAGAGGCAATGTTGCAATAACGTGTTAAAAAGGGTTGAGAAACGTTAGGTTGGGAACTCTTTTTATGTGTTTATAAACCTTTGTTTATAAACACAAAATATAAATATCAGCATTATGCTAAGTTAGATTTCTTTTTAAAAGAGTAAATTTGTCTTAAAGTTATTATAATATATATGTAAATGAGAATTTCAAAGATTATTTGCTTACCTCTGGTAGAAAATTGTGTTTTTTAATCACCTGATACAACATTTCATGAGTTTCAATAGCAGGCCTAATATCACCCTTTAAAACCTAGAAGTCAACAACAAAATGACTTAATAAAATATGACTTAATTTCATCTACAATCATTCTATAAACAGAAATGTATATATTGATGCAACCTTGAACTGTTAACTACATTTTATCATTCAATTTTAGAGATCACAAATGCACGTAATTAAAATTATTTTATGTTAATATTAGAAAATGTGTTTCTTTATACCTGCAAACCTGGAAAGAAGGCGAGCAAAGCATCCATCCAAGTCCGAGCATTCAGCATTGGTTTGTGGATATGCACATCAAGCAGGAGAGGGGGCTGGCTAATGTACCTCATTATGGCATCATAGTGCTGAAAGATCAACGAGTTCATCAAAGTAGATGAAAATCCACATCAAATAGCACAGTGAAGAAATTAAGCCCGAGTGTATACACATTTAAAAATAATTTCACAATTTGTCAATTGACTGTGTAAATATTTAGGTGGAAAGATGTTCCTTTAAAAAATGTACATACACAGACACGCACTGCCTTACATTTTCTAAGTCAGACACAGAATAGGGATATTGTTCAGTTGTAGAACATTTGCCTAGCATGCCCAATGACCTGGATTCAAACCCAGCATGCTCGCGCGCGCATACACACACACACACACACACACACACACACACACACACACGGCGGGGGCAGGTGGTGGGGCGGGGGAGAAAGAAGAAAACCATAATTCATGTAAATATGAGAATTACTAAAATGTTGAACTGATTCAAAAAGAATCTGAGGCTAGGTACAGCAGCATGTGCTCACAATGCCAGCACTGAGGATGCTGAGGGAAGAGGATCAAGGTTCAAGGAGCCCCTGGGCTACACAGTAAGAATATGTATCATGTAAAAAAAAAAAGGCTATATTTAATATGAGACCTTCTGGGGCAAGGGAGATGGATCAGTTGGTAAAGTGCTTGCCACACAAGCATGAGGACCTGACTTCAGATCCCCAGCTCCCATGTAAAAAAGCCAGATGCAGCAGCATGCTCTTATAATCCAATACTCAGAAGGTAGAGAAAGGAAGAGCCCTGGGGCTTGCCAGCCAGCCAGTCTAGTAAAACCGGCAAGCTCCAGGTTTGGTAAAGAGACCCTGTCTCAAAAAAAATCAAAGAAATAAAAAGAAAGTGTACATGCACTTGCATGCATATGAACATACATACACACATACATACACACATACATATACATATACACACACACACACACACACACACACACACACACACACACACGAGAGGCAGATCATCTGAGAGAAACAGATCTGAGCAGCTCTATCTCCTGTGTGATTAGCTCACGGTTAGGATGCTCTGTGGCCCAGTTATGCTCTCAGGGTCTCCTTGGAATATAACCACCAGCTTCTAGCTTACAAAGTTACTTTTCTCCTGTATCTAAGAAATCTGGTCCCTTCTCAGCAATATTCTGGTATGCCCTACTACCGAAATGGATGCATAGAATCACTGTTACCACTCTTACTAGTCTGTCAGCTCTGCTTTTTATGGTCTTAACTCCCTTTCTTCTTCTTTTTGCTGCCTTCTCCTACATACTTTTTAACTTTGAAAACAGGACAAATTGTGAGCCAACAAAAATAATTATCTGTCCTAATTCATCTCCAAAAAAAATAAAACTTACCAGCAGCAAATAATATGTATATAGATAGTGTTTTTAAAGTATTCAATAGGGAGCTTACTGGGACTTTTACTAGGTTGCTTTGTTGCTGTTTTGGTGATTTACCTGGCAAAAAGCACTAGTATTCCCACTTTGTAGATGAGAAATAAAGGCAACCAGAAGTAGTCGCTTCCCAAAGACACAAGACCAATGCATTACCCAAACAGGGTTTTAAACTAAGCTATCTTTCTGAGTTTTAACTACGCGTCAAAACATGTCATATACATGAGTGAACTGATGGGTGGAAAGGATGTAAACTGTATTTATGTGAATACACTGATAGAGCTAATGAGTTTGCTGTATTAATCTCAGCTTGTGTCAATTACAAAGGCAATCTACCTGGAGTCCAACTACCCTCCTCCAAAGCTTTTGCTTGTGGTTCTGATCCTGTCTTTAGACTTGCAGACCTGCTTTTGAAATGAAGACTCACTAGTTTCTCCATGTCTTAAAAACCCTATCTACCTGTATGCTCAAAGACTAGGCCAAACTTCCAACATTTCAAATAGAATTAGAGTCCAAAGGAGAAAGTCAAATATAACTCATTCTACGAATTACATTTGTTTTGGTACAAAAGAAGATTAAGTACAATTCAAATCTGCATACTTCATCATATATTGCCAGTGTGAGAAAACTTACGATAAAACAAACTTGGACTTAAATAAAATTAGTAGAAAAATAGATCAACTTACTGTATTAAATCTTTCCAGAAAACTGTCATCTCCAAGCAAGACATAGGCTTTCAGCAGATACTCATAATATGAATCAATCCCTGCTCCAACTCCACTATCTATAAAAAAAAACAAAACAAAACATATAAATATGGTCCTTTATTAAACAAGTCATTAAAAGCTCTCATAGACTACACGTGAGGACACTAGTGTATCAGAATGGAAAATCAAGTCTCAGCAGGAATATCACTGAAGTAAAAACTGCCCAGTCCTAGAAATATGAACCCCATCTGCTTCATGAATAATAGTTCCCTTCCTGCTAATACTTTGTTTGAAAAAGTTGTTTTGCAAAGCATTTACGAATGTCTTACTTAGACTGCTAAGATTTATGAAGGATAATAGGGATTTTGGCAACATGAATTATACAGAGATGAAAAAAAAAATAGAAACCAATTTTTAGCAATTAAAACAAACATTTCAAATTGAAAGCCCCCCAAATAATACTGAAAGAGATGAAAATTTACACCAAAAATTATACCAACAGTTTTATAAATTTTCTTTGTCATTGATATTTACAATCTTCTAGAAAGATCACATATTAGGGCACAGAAATAAGAACAGTATCATATTTTAAAACAGGATGTGAGAAAATAGAGTTGTATTTTTAAGAACTTGATGGAAAATAAAAACTAAGAATTACACACAGCCAAACTATCACTCCAATATAAAACACAATAAACTATCGTTAGGCAGATACAGCTTCAGCAGCCATGAGTACTGAAAACAGTGTGGGATGAAATACAATTACCCCTGGTGCCTGCACAACACAGGTTTCACGACTCTCTGAGGCTATCAAAATCCAAGGATATCTAAGTGCCTTCTACAAAATGGTGTAATCCTTTCATGTTATGACCCATGCACGGACAGTCTCACGTACTTTGCGTCATTTCCAAATTCATTTTACTACCAAGTACAATGCATACGCTATGTAAATGCTTACTATGCTTATTGTTTAGGGAATCATTAAAAGAGAAAAGAAGAAAGAAGTCCATGTATGTTTAGTACAGGTGAATATTTTTCTTTTCTTTTTGAGACAGGGTCTCCCTGTAGCCCCAGCTGGCCTAGAACTCACTATGTAGACTAGGCTGGTCTTGAACTCACAGAGATCCACCTGCCTCTGCCTCCCAAGTGCTAGGGTTAAAGGCCTGCATCACTACTAGCCTAGGTGAATCTTTTTCCATTTTCCATCTGCACATGGAAATGCATGAATATGTGGAAACAGAACCCACGGATATACTTAGAGACAAAACCATATACATTACAAGTGAGATGTGAAGTACAAGCAACAAAATACCTTAGTAAAATTTGTTACATTTAAATAGTGAAGGAGAGAGAACAGAGGAGAGGGAGAAAGAAAAGAGAACACATACCAATCATCAGAACTAAATTCCGATAATATCAATATATCAGAAAAAGGTTGGAGCAGAGAGAGACAAAAGGATGGGAAAGCAAACCCAGTTTGTTTTTAGTAGGTAGACAGACGTAGATTATCAATAAAAAAATAATGGATGAAAAACAAACACAGAAAAGTTGCAACATACTGAAGTCACATGAAAATAGTATAAGCTCAATACATTAAAAATATCAGTAGAGGGGCTGGAGAGATGGCTCAGTGGTTGAGCACAGACTGCTTTTACAGAGGACTGGGGTTTGATTCCCAGCACCCACATGGTGGCTATGACCCGTCCTTAAGTACAGTTCCAGGGGAATCCAAAGCCCTCTTCTGACCTCTGCAGCACTGCATGACACAGGTGCACTCACATACATGCAGGCAATACACTCATACACATAAAAATAATAAAGTATTTTTTAAAAAATCAGTAGATAGGCATGAACTCAACTCATCAATTAAAACACAAAACTGATAAAAATGCATTTAAAGAAGTATATAGTTTACAGAGGACATATTCATTGCTTAAGTACCTGCAAGATCAAAAGGAGAAGGATGGGAAAAGTGGATCTGGCAAACACTACGCAAGATAATGGGGCTACTCAAACATACATGAAAAACCAAGAGGATTACTACACAATGGCAAAGGGCTCAGCTAAGGAGAGGCAGCAATCTAAACCAAATGCACCCACTGTGTCCAGTGGAATATAAAGCAAAAAATGGAACTATAGAAAATCATTGTTCTTTAATTCTTGATAAGCCAAGCAAACAGAATATCAGTGGGATCTATATATACAACATTACTGATAATTGGACAAGAATGTAAATTAGACCAGCCACTAGAGAAATCAGTACGGATTAAAAAATTAAAAATAGAACTCTCATATGATATAGTTATTGCTGGGTACATAGCCAAAGGAATCACAGCACAGAACAGAAACATTTACATGCTCTTTTCCCTATGGCACTAACAACACTCAAGCTATAGACTCAGCCTTGGTACACATAAATGGATGAACCGATAAAGAAAATGTAGTACACACATAAAACACACAGTTTTATTCAGCCACAAAGAACTAAATTGCACCGTTTTCAAGAACTGGAATCATCATGTGATGCAAAGTAAGACAGATTCAGAAAACAAGTGTCACAAGTTTTCTCTTATTATGTGGAATGGGGGGCTGAAAGCAAAAGGGGGGCATTATGGCTCTATAAGGGGAAAAGAGAAGGAGTGAGAGTAACAGACGGAATGAATATGATCAAAATACTACATATGCATGTTTGAAAAAGTCACAGTGAAATCCAGTACATTGTGCAATTAATATGCACTAATAAAAAACCACATTAAATGAGAAAAACGGACATACAGAATTCTACATGTAACAAATTGGAAACACTTTTTTCTTTAACGCATAAGGAACACTTATAAAAACTGACCATGTTCTAGGTCAAAAAAGAACATTTTAATAATTTCAGAGGGGAGATGTCACCATATACAGTATATACACCATTGAACTACAAATATTATAAAAATCAAAATTTTAAATTACAAATATTTGTAAAGTGAAAACACTGTTGGTACTGCCAACATAGGAGAAATGAGTCTTACATCATAAACACAAACTGCAGATAGTTTAAAGAATTTCAATTCTGGTAAAAAAAACTTTGAAACTATCAATATTGCATTAAGGAGATGTTCTTAAGGATTAATCACAAAAACTCAATAAATTAGACTATATTAAAAATTAAGAAGAGAAAGTACAAGTCATAAATTAGAAGTACACAGAATACATACAACTGACAAATAATCAGTATCCAGAATACACAATTTTAAGAGTACAGTTTAACCCAACAGCAAATGGTAAAACAACAGAAGCATATAATTTAAAAGTAAGCAAACAGGGCCAGGGATGTGACTCAGTGATACAGCACTTGCCTAGCAAGGGTGAGGTCCTGGGTTTGATTCCCTAGTATCAACCCCCCCCCCAATCCCCACCCTAAAGATGTGGCCAACAAATAGAAAGAATTGTTCAACATCATTGGTCAAAGCAATCGAATCAAACCACATGCAATGTCACTTGCATACTCGCTGGTTTTCTAAACTTCTAAAAGGCCAGTAGTACAGTGTTGGGAGAAGGCATCTGACACAGAGGTTTTCTTATCTTCTGATAGCCGAAGTATACAGCAGTGAGATAATTTGGTATTTGAACTCATCTCGTGATGCTAACAACATTAACTTATACCATGACCTAAAATTTTCACTCCTAGATATACAGCCAAGAAAAACTCTCACATATGGACAAAAGGAGTTACTATAAAATATTCCTGCTGGGCATGGTGGCGCACGCCTTTAATCCCAGCACTCAGGAGGCAGAGGCAGGTAGATCTCTGTGTGTTCAAGGCCAGCCTGGTCTACATAGTGAGTTCCAGGCCAGCTGGGACTACAGGGAGACCCTGCCTTAAAGAGACAAAAAAAAAAAATCTTGATGCCATTGATCACATTAACAAAATCTGTGAAAACAACTCAAGTGCCTATAAGCTGGTTTATTAAACCCAGCAGTCAAAAAGCAATGAGTCACTTCACACAGCAATATGCATGAGTCTTAGGAGTACATTACTAAGTGAAAAAAATCTCAAAGGGCACATACAATGTATTATTCTAAAAGAAAGCAAAAAATATACTTTTGGCGTGGAATCACAAAGGTGGGGAAGAGAACAAGGACCATACAGAGCAGGATATCGGTGAGCAAGTTACTGCTGTAATCAATCATTCATTAGTTGGCACTAGTTATTAAAAATGACTAAATAAAATGGGTCATGCATGAACCAATGGCCACACTGTCATATCAAGTCAAGAATTACAATTAATTCAAAATTAATTGTAATTATTTTTAACCCAGAGTTGGTTAAAGATGGCTTAAGAATTCTTTTAAAAAAGGAAAGAAAAATTTCAGAATCCTGAAGTTGTTTTCTCTCACAAACCATTTAAACAAAATTAGAAAAAAGTTGTATAATATTAAATAAGTAATACATTTCTATTTCTTTTAATTTTCAAATTAATAATTATATGTTTACTTTTTTAAACACAGGCAATTAATTTTACTTACAAACAAGATAACCCTTTTGAAAAATAGAGAAACACATAAAAAAGATAATCTCTTTGGGAGTATTCTAGCATATTTCCATTCTCCAATCTTTTCTTATATAGAGATGTTTTATAAACAGAAAATATTCTTTATATAATACATATCCTATTTTCTCATTTAACATTATATTTCTCTGATTCCAATTAAATTCAGTAACAATACTTCAACATTGTTATTAAATAATTTTATGAGCTTTTATGTTACTGATGGTCACTTAAGTCTATATTCCAGAATTATAAATATGTGATGAATGTCTTTGGAAACAAATTTTCTTTTTTTTAAAAGAAAAAAACAGCAAAATTTTATTATTCAATAAATTATGGTAAAACTTAAAAGAATATCATGAGTACTAGTTTGAAAGGTGGACTGTCATTGGAATATATCATAGGAGGGTGACTTTTAATGACCATCAAAATTAAACATGAGTATGCCCACTGACTCAACATCATGTGCAAAGCTATTTACTATGGAAGCAAAAGCTGAGATGGAGGGAATATGGTGATTAGATCTAAAACTCATAATATTACATTCGACTTGAGATACAAAGATACAGGAAACAAATTTTCTGTAGTTTGTATTATTTCCTTGGGCTAAATTTCTAGAAGTAAAATTATTAATCAAAGGGATTTATAGCATATTGACGAGCATTTCATAAGTGCAACACACGCCAGGTACTATCCTCAGTCTTCACATGAACTCACTTAATCCTCATGGAATGCTATGAAGCATTACAAATCTCCTTATCTTACAGAGATGGTCAGAGAGGCACACAGAAGGTAAATAAATGGCCAAGACCACATAGCTTAAATTAGACTCCAGGGTCTGTGCTCCAATCTATTTCTGGGGGTAGAAAACAACACACATGCACGCATCCATGCAAGCATGCATGCATGCACAATCACAGACTGTGATAACATTATTAAACATACCCACTAAACTATACCTTGATGTGAAATGAACTATTCCTAAGACCTAGTCCTCAAATTAATTCTGGTGTTTTGTCCATACTTGTACATGTTAATGCCATTCCAACTAAGGTATGAAACAGAATACTATGCCAAGGATTATCTTAACAAATGAAAAGGGCTGGAGAGATGGCTCAAAGGTTAAGCGCACTGGCTGCTCTTGCAGAGGACCCAGGTTTGATTCCCAGCACCCACATGGCGTATCAGAACAGTCCATAACTCCAGTTCCAGGGGATCCAATGTCTTCTACTGTCCTCCTCAGACACATGGGTGCACTTACACACATGCAGGCAATACACTCATATACATAGAATAAAAATAAATAAAATTTTTTTTAAAAAGCAAATGAAGTTGCTGTATTGACCAACCATTCTGAGGATATGAAGGTTTCATTTTGCAAAGCAAGCCAAACTTACATACCTTTGCGTACCCAGTCTCCAGTATGAATATTGATAGTCACGCCCACTAAATTACTACTTCGTTGTCTTTTTTCCCAGAGAAAATCAAGAGCTTTTCTTGCATATTCCTATAATTAAAATACAAAAGCATACTTAAAGAACTTTGTCTTCTTCAAAAAGATAAACATACACACATGCACAAATCAAAAGTCTATAGGATCTTTTAATAATTAGGCAAAATTCCCAAGACAGCTGCTTATAATATAAATTTCCTTAAAATCTTGTCTTGGAGCTGGGTGTGGTGGCGCACGCCTTTACTCCCAGCACTTGGGAGGCAGAGGCAGGCGGATCTCTGTGAGTGATTCTGAGACCAGCCTGGTCTACACAGTGAGTTCCAGGCCAGGGAGACCATTTCAAAAAGAACAACCCCCCGCCAAAAAAAAAAAAAAAAACAAAAACTGAAAAAACTTGTCTTGGCTCTTTTTCAGCCAGTCTAGTTAAGACTGAAAATGCAACTTAGAATAAGAGATCTCACTTGGAGATCATGGGGTCATCTCTTGTATCATGGTCCTATTAATACACATCATTAAATGTACCTGTTAAACAATTCCTATCATTTAAGTGCAAAGTGGAAATGCCCTTAGGTATTCTTATTCAGAAAACAAAGTGAATTTCAAAATTGGTATCTTTGAAACAGTCATTTCAGATCTCACTTTTTAAGTGATATATAATTTTGTTCTTGAAAACATAGAAAATTAACTAGGCTATTACTTATTTGGTAATGCCAAACTTAAAGCCTTATGACGACTTCTTCTTTCATTTATTTTTATCTACTGGATATTAAAGTCAAATGATTTCTTATTAAATTCTTGGCGCTAAGAAACAAATGTTACAAATGGAAATGCAAATGCACATACTGGTGAGAATCTAAATTAATTTCAGGGCAAGACCTATTTAACATTGCAAGAAAAAAACAAGCCCAGTTATTACTTTTTGTAGGTTTGAGATAGAGTGCAAAATCATTTTAATTCTTCATTCAACTGTTTCATGCCAATTATTTTTCAACAGAACAGATTTATATGGTAGAATTTCAGATCTGGAAGGCTTGGTACAGATATGTCCCTATTCCTATTTTTTAAAATATATATATATTTTATTTTTTAGAAGAAGCATTTCATTACAGCTTTAACATACTCAATAACAATTTCCAGAGCAAAGATACATCTCTTTCAAAAGTGGCTATAAAATTTTTAGGTTCACAGTTGAATTAATAGTTATACAATATTGAACTCAGTATAAGCCCTGTGAGACATAAAATTGAATGAGTTTTTAACCTTAAAAAAGATCTCCATTTCATTTTAAAATATACTGTTTCTTACAGAAATACTCATTGTTTTTGCTAATAACACTTAGATGCTGGTGTATGCATAATTTTAAAAAAAAGAGGAAAAACAATCAAAATCAGTCCCAGTGAAATTAAAGATTTTTTTTTTTTTTTAAAACAGGGTCTCCCTGTAGCTCCAGTTGGCCTGGAACTCAATATGTAGACCAGGCTGGCCTTGACCTCACAGAGATTCACCTGCCACTGACTCCCAAGTGAGTGCTGGGATTAAAAGTGTGCGCCACCACACCCAGCTGAAATTAGATTTAACCGAAGTTGAAAACTGAATCATAGGACAACTAAGACTCAGATGTCTATGTACATTAGTCTCTACACATCTTTACAGCTCTAATTTATGCATATAAAATACAAAAGGCATACAATAAAAAAGCAACAGTGATTATACTTGAAAATGGGTTTATGGATAGTTCTAGTTTGCTCTTTGAGGTCTTATTTTCATATTTTCCTAGTTTTTTATATTTATTTTTTATGTTTTAGAAGAAGCATTTCATTACAGCTTTAACATACTCAATAACAGTTTCCAGAGCAAAGATACATCTCATTCAAAAGTGGCTATAAAACTTTTAGGTTCGCTGTTGAACCTAATAACCACATACTTAGAAGAAGCATTTGATTACAACAGTATTGATATATTCAATAACAATTTCCAGAGCTAAGATGCATCTGTTTCAAGACTGGCTGTAAATGTTTAGGTTTACAGTTGAATTAATACAGTTATACAATATTGTACTCAATATAAACCCTATAAGACATAAAATTAAATGAGGTCTTAACCTTTTAAAAAGATCTCTATTTCATTATTAAAATACACAGTTTCATACACAAAACTTCATTTTTAATGCAATTAACACTAAGGTCTTTGCATATGCGTTTCTAATTTCTATATATCTATTACTAGTCATAGTTGGTTACTTTCTGAGCTCCTTGGAATCTGCCCATGGATATAAAGTCATCACGTAGATTTCAATGGTAATATTTTTCACATCTACTAAATATTAAGGAGCAAATTTTTATGCTTTGAAGAATTATATTTTTAAATTTTTTTAAAAATTTAATAACTACATGATTGGAAGAAGCATTTATTACAGCTTTAACGTATTGAGTAACACACTCCAGAGCAATGATACATCTCTTTCAAAAGTGGCTGTAATTTTTAGGTTCACAGTTGAATTAATACCGTTATACAATATTGAACTCAGTAAAAACCCTGCAAGATATAAAATTGAATGAGTTTTAACCCTTCAAAGAAGATCACAATTTCATTTTAAAATATGCTGTTTCCTACACTTTTAATGCTACTAACGCTTAGATGTTTGCACATGTGTTTTTAATCTCTATGTATCTGATGACTACTAGTCACAGTCGGTTACGCTCGAATCCTTAGTACCTGAGTCTTATTCATCTATATACCCACTTCCCTAATGGCACCCTCCCATAGCCTCCCTCCTCCCACATACTGGAGCCCACATACTCTGTCTTCCCTGTTACTGTCCTCTATGTTGTCAACACCCCCAGCCCTTCTCCAGTGCTTGTCTGCTGAATCTAGTCAGCCTATCTAGAGGTCTTTGTTTTAGGAAGATCAGCTGTTCCTCATCTAGCAGCAATCAGTTGTCAGTATTCCCTTAGATAAGATTGGGGTCTGCTGTCCATTTTCCCAGTTCTATGCTGGGTTACTATCTGGGATTCTCATGCGCCACCT